TTTGAGATCTTTATTAGGTAGTTCAGACACAAACCACGGCAGCTTATTGTACAATACTACCTACACTGTACCACCACGATTGAGATATCTTTATCAGATAATTCAGACACAAACCGCGACAGCTTATTGTGGATACTACCATACACTCTGGCGCGCGTGACACTGCATTAAATTTTTAATAACATGCACTGTGTATACGATAAATTCTATTTGCCTATACGGAGCTAGATTATATTATAGCGAGCCTCATATAGCCTTTTGATTTCTGTAAATAATACTGTGGAGCCTTTTTTAAAAATAGTTGTTTTCTTTATATTCACAGGTAAACGCCTCAGCGACTGTTTAATATCTGAGAAGATTGTCTTGGATTTGATTGAATGTGGTCAATGGTGTTTGAGCCACGATTGTCAGTCATTCAACTATGGAGAGAAGGAGGAGTCACGAGGATTGTATACTTGTCAGTTGAACTACTGCACTAAAAAAGATCGCCTCGCATTGGTGGATAGGAAATTTGAATATTATGAAATGGTAAGAGGGTCTGCTGCACACGAGAGAAACTTGTTGAGCCGGCTAGCCGTTTCGCGTGACGCTTAGCTTAGCTATGCATTTTCACCGCACAAGTTGGGAAAACTACCTGTTTTCGAGTTAAATTATAGGCAAAACTTCCGCCATCTTGAAACGTCATTGTTGCCATAGCAATGGTGTAGCCGTGCATAACTTTTGTTAAGATCACTTGAAGAAACTATGGGTTCTCATTGGCTAGTTAATTCAAGCAGCTCAACACTAAGCTCGCAACATCCGCAGACGTTGAGATTTTTTTCTCGCGAGGTAAAAAATATCAAACACGATAGATATTTTTCTCAAGACCTACAGAGGTTAAATCCTCACGAAAACTGTCCGCACAGGGGAAAACATTTATACTGAGCTAGACGCCATGCGAGGCGGTTACCTCAGCAAGTTTCTCTCGCGTGTGAGGCAAACTTTGGGCAAATTTTTTTAAAAGTATTGGCTAGACAACCTTTGCCGTTCATTAAGTGCTCTTTTAATCAGGTAATCCGTATTTTTACTTATACACATTCAGATTTGAATAGGAATAATGCAAAACTCAATAAGTTACCGACTTACCGATATAGTAAAATATGGAAGTTCATTATAGGCAAAGTAATTTTGAGAGAACCCCAAGACGTTTTTTCTTAGAGTGGTAACACTGTTTTGTACTGGTTGTTAAAAAATTAATAATAATCCTTTTAGGTGCCTCAATTGTCAGAATGTGAAAGTGTCTCAGGTAGGACTATACCATACTATACCATACCATACTATACCTTATACCATATACGCGGTTCAGTGTAGGTAGTATTCTACAATATCGAGATTTTGGGACCCAGGTTTGATTCCTGCCTGGGACCTGTAGTATTCCTGGGACCTGTAGTATTCCATGTATATAAATTTCCACTCGACAATTTCCATCTTTAAGACCCTTCAACAGGGGCGGAAAGGGGCGGACATATCGATTTTGACTGGGAGGGTGTAATCACGAAATGAGACCGACCCACCACTGAAATGTGAATCCAGACCGACTCTTGCTGAGTTGGTGTGTTGCAATAAAATTGAGTACAAAGCATGGAAAATGATGGCATTTATTAGGAATTTTGCAAGAACACGTACAGTTTACTGTGAAACGCCGCGCTAAGTCAGGTTTGACCACGAATTAACGATTTCGTCAAGATCGATCGATCGTGTCTGTTAGATCGCGCTCACACGCAAGAGTCAAGAGTTCACCAGTTCACCAAGGCGTTCCTGGTTCATTACTGAACGCATAACAGTATTCAGTGATTTCAGCTTTGAAAAGCTGCGCTCGGCTGATGCGGAACTGTCAGGCGCGTAACTATAGGATTTTTGATTGACCGAGACACTTCTGGGGGGTCTGGGGGCATGGTCCCCCAGAAAAATTTTCTAAGGCTTAGAAACGCTATTTTCTGCATTCTGGGAGCAGTTCAAACGAAAAATCAATTTCATAAACAGTGACACAATGACTATAATTTTATACTGCAGTTTGCCCCCAATCCTGAGGCTAAGAATTACAAATATTTTTGGTCGAACATCATTGATCAGGTGCATAATATAAAAGTGTTTGTGCTCAATTGTTGTAATATTTGGGCGCTGGCCCGCACTTTTGTTATTGGGGTACTTGTGCACCCACACAGCCTCCCATTTCTTACGTCACTGTAGGGCAAGAATAATGCTTCTTTACATAGAGAGAACTACAGTCTGTCATTAAACTTGAGTATACTTGACTCATATACCTAGTTATGGGCCTGACTGTAAGCAACAATTGGAAACATCGCCTAGTCAGTGGAAACAATTTTTCGCTCCGTGATTTCAGATAAACCAGTGCGTCGTTCACTGATCGAATTTCTTGATTGCAGTAGGCAAATAAAACTCTTTGGTAATAAAATGCATATGCATATCTTGTTACATATCTTGTTTATAGGGACCGGAGAAATATTGTAACTAATGTTAGCTACTTTGATCGAGATTCATCGCATTTTGGAGTCTGATTTTGGGGGTTTGAAATTTTCGCTAATATAGAATATCACCCGTGAATGACCTTGCAGAACCTAAATTCCAAATAAAAGTGCCAACACGTAATCGTGACATATAGATATCTCCATGTTTGGAAAGTAAATGGAAACTTCATCCCTTTGCGCGTGTTTTGATTAATAATTCGTTCATAAACTCGCGAAATAAGTACGTAATATTTCTTAATATTATTTCTGAGCTGTTTGAGCAAATTTCCAACTCAATACTCAATAGCTTGAGTCTATCTCGAGTTCCGAAAATATTTAATTTGCTTCGCAAAGCACTGCATGTAAACAAACGCATAATTTTGAGACCGACTGCACGTAGTTAGAGACCGACTGGATCATTTCTCTGGGGGGAACACCACGCCCTGCCCTTCAAGTATTCTACAATAAGCTGCCGTGGTTTGTGTCTGAACTACCTGAAGAAGATATCTCAAACGTGCATGGTGGTCCAGTGTAGGCAGTATTCTACAATAACCTGCCGTGGTTTGTGTCTGAACTACCTGAAAAAGATATCTCAAACGTGCATGGTGGTCCAGTGTAGGTAGTATTCTACAATAAGCTGCCGTGGTTTGTGTCTGAACTATCTGAAGAAGATATCTCAAACGCGGTGGTCCAGTGCATGAGGCAGTGTTCTACAATAAGCTGTTGCGGTTTATGTCTGTCTGAACCACCTGAAGAAGCTATCTCAAATGTGGTGGTCCAGTCTAAATAGTAGGCTATCCTACAATTAGCTGCCGTGGTTTGTGTCTGAATTACCGGAAAAAGATATCTCGAATGTGGCGTTCATTGGAGGTAGTATTGTGCCATAAACTATCGTGGTTTGTGTCTGAACTACCAGAAACATATTCGAATTAAACTCTGCCCGGCAAAGAAGGACAATTGTTTGCTAATTTCTTATCAATTTTCATCCAAATTTAATCAATATGTCGTTGGGCAATGTCCATTAATCTCACAAATTTTCGAATTAATATGTGTGTTATTTTTTTTTAAGTTATACTGACAAACCATGGCAGCTTATTTGTAGAATAATACCTGCATTGCATGGACCTTCAAGTATATATAGATGTATGACAAATTGCTTATATGTTTCAGAACCGTCGTTCTCCATGTTGTTTCCACGTCATAGTATCAAGGACTATGTGGAAGTAGATGACCCTGATTTGCCAGAGTTGAGCGCTTTCTCGATCTGTGCCTGGGCGAAGTTTGTCAAGAATGCAGACGGCACTATATTGTCTTATGCTGTCCAGGGGGGGTCTAAGAAGGCCAATGAGATTGCTATCTGGTGTTATAGAACTAAAGTTATCTTTTCTATCACAAATGTTTGGACAACGTAAGATTGTGTGTGAACTAGCATAATACGAAATTAATCTCAAACGGTCTGTTCAGAACGTTCTCCTCCCCAGCCTCGTTTACACTTGAAATTTTTGCTTCGATTTTAGGTGCGATTTTCTTCTGATGATGGATGCGAACGAGTAGATGAGTTATAAAAGTTAAGATGAGGGACACATACTCAGAACATTCATTACTCATCTACTCGTTCACATGCACCAGAATAGGGAAATCGCAAGATTTCAACTTTCTCAAGACCAGTTCTGAAGATCATTGGGAATGTAGCAGAGCACCCTTTGTCCCCTGCTTACATCACTGACCAACTAATCTATTTAGACCTATAACCAAGAACAACTGCAAAGAATGCAACTATGTAGGCCCTCTGGCATGCAGGAGTCGAACCTGCCACTCTTCGATTCCGGTGCAGCGCTCTAACCAACTGAGCTACAGAGTTCAGTAGCTTATACTGGCCCTCTATAGAGGACAGTTTGGAACCCGTGCAGTTATTCGAATGAAGTTTTTGGAGTTCAGGTCACACTAGACTAACATCAAGAGATGGCCCTTTTTGGACCCCTGGGAAGAACTATTCTAGTGTAAAACCTGTACATCTATTTGAATAAACATGTTTTGTGTTGAAAATTAATTTTATTTTATTTCAGAACGTATAACAGTTTACTCAGTGATGGTTTCTGGCATTCAATCTGTCTTACGTGGTCAAATGTGGACGGCAACCTCGCAGTGTATAAAGACAACGTAATGACAGACCAAGCATCTGGTGTGGTTACTGGAAAAAACATCTCTGGAGGGGGGCGGTGGGTGCTGGGTCAAGACCAAGATAGTGTCGGAGGTGGGTTTGCAATCCAAGACGCTTTCCAGGGGGAGCTGGCTGAAGTGAATGTGTGGGGGCGTGTTCTTACAAAACAAGAGAACAAGAGATTGCCTGGTTTTCGACAGACTGTCAACGCCGTATGAATGGCGATGTAAAGAGCTGGCCGGAGTTCAGAACTGGACTGCGACGTGAAGTTCGAGCGGTCGATGAGCCAAGTTGTACAAAATGTAAGTTTGGAGTGAGCTAAAGTATAATTGTTGCAAAGAAATAAAAAACATATTTCGAGCTTGTG